AACAATAACAATATTTATTCACTTTCGCTTTATCAGATTACATTAAGCAACATCCTCATATTTAAATTAAATTGCTTTATGAAGCATCGTCATCTTTAAATTAAATCGCATTATATAGAATCCTCAACTCTCAGCTTGAAGTGCATTTATGAGATCAGATGACGAAACGCGTCGGTTAAGATAAGTTCTGATTTTGTTTTTATTCATACACATACACACACACACACACACACACACACACACATATATATATATATATATGTATGTATGTATGTATGTATGAATATATTTATTTGACACTGAGCGTCGGAGGAAATCCATTTTCATACATAAATATGGGTGACAAATTTTTCCTGGCCCGAAAAAATTTGTCACCCTTATTTTCGTATGAAAACGGAGATCTGAAGACTTAGGACATAAATCCCGATCCTATTAAATAAACTACAATACCATGAACCCTTAAAGTTGTTTGTTTCTTAATATAATTAACATTTGCTCTGTTTTTACATTGAGCTCTCGGGATTACATCCTCCTTGGAATTATCCATAAGAATTACCAAATAACTTCATCAACTAACTATATATATATATATATATATATATATATATATATATATATATATACACACACACACATATATATATATATATATATATATATATATATATATATATATATATATATATATACCCAAGTATATAATTGGTATATACGGAATTAATTCCAATAACCAACAATTACTATTCTTAAAAGAGTGCTCAATACAAAGTAGAGCAGATATAATTATTATTTATAAAAAAAAAATATAATATATTTTATGATAAAAAAATTATAACATAAGTATGTTATAAAATCACTACAAAATTTTTGTAGTGATTTTATAACATACTTATGTTATAATTTTGTTATAAATAATAATTATATATATATATATATATATATATATATATATATATATTACTTATAGATTCACTCATTTTAGGTTGTTGTATGAACATAACAGGTTAAAGAGTGCAGATTATAAAGATATGTAGGATTGATAGCGGTTAACTCTAAACTTGAAATCGTAATGATCGGGGGAGCATCACCTCAGGAGATATTTTCCACGAAGCAACGGTTCTTGGGAAGAAGCTGTCCGAATGAAACTTCTTACTAATGGAATGAGATGGAAAAGGGGGTGACTTGTCCATGTGTACGTAGGATAGTGAGTCTTACCTGTAAAGGTCAGAACGGGTTGAACTAAGTAATTTATCATTAGAACAGTTGCCACTTAAAATTTAAAAAAAAAATATAGTATTAATTACAGGTTTCTAAAAATCCACTATTAATTATAGGTTATAACAATTCAATAAATTAATTCCCCAACTTGGGACAGTGGCATTACTTGTTTAAAAAAGGCAATTTGATGTTGAATTCTGCGTCACATAAGCTGGCCAATATAAACCTTTTTTTTTTAAGCATTACGCCCCGAGCAAGGCGTGAAGCCACTAGGATGCAGGGGGTTGCAGAAGATTTGGAGCAAGTTAAGATAGGAGTGATAGAAGAAAAGGATGAGGAGAAGGGTAGTGGATAGATCAAGGTAACTGGAGATGTCGATTGACATTACATTTGAATAGTTGGAGATTATAGCTCTCAGGGAAACTGGAATAGGGAAGAGAGTTCCACAGGCGAGAGGTGCGAGACATGAAGCTATTGGAGTAGAAGAGACGGCTACATTTAAAAGTTTCTACAGTGAAAGGGTGAGAGCGGGATGCCAGCCTCGTAGGGCGCTTGAATTCATGAAGTCTGGGAACCAGCGAATGCAGCTCCTCGGAGCAATTGCCATGAAACTATTTGTAAAAAAGACAGAGAGAGGCGACGGCGCGTCTGTGAGAGAGCAACTGTAGACGAGATGCCAGAACAGGGCCAATTATATTGCATATCCGCCTCTGGATCTTTTAAATAAATGAGTCTGTGTCGGGTTTTGCATTTAGGAAGATATAAATAATTTATCATTGAATGTATAATGTATTTAGCGCCTCTACTTGGGTTAATAGATAGCGATTGTGTCAAGAAAACGAGTACTAAGGTAGGTTTAGTTTGGTTGTGACCTTGTACCAGACTCGGCTAAGTTTAATAAATTTTTATTTAAATTACTTTTAAGTCCCTTAAAACATGATTTAACACAAGTTGGTGATTTTTTTAGTTTAATGCATATGGGATTTCTAATCGTAACTGAGGTGTGTTGTATTTGAAGGGGGGGGTGAATATTTCAATCTGGTCTGATGAGAGATTAGGAGAAGGCGTCAGCACTTAACCCCCGGCCATCGTCTTTTTGATTTCTCACATCATCTTATCTCTTACAGGTGACGCCTTTTTTTTTCTCTTGATTCCCATTCAATTCAAAAAGAGTGATGTTTTGTCAGTTATTTTTTTCTTTTTAGACAAGAGCCACATTTCACATGCCTGAGTCATAACAAGGAATGTAATACAGTCAGTATAGATTATCCAACGTTTTAGATTTTATTTAGAGCACGAAAAACTTTCAACAAACGAAATATATATATATATATATATATATATATATATATATATATATATATATATATATATATAAGTACCCACATAACTACAGGAAATTGCAAAACCATTTAAATCTGTGGATGAATCAAAATGATACAAAATATTTAGTCAATTAAGAACTTTGTTCTGTCAGTAACGCTTCGATTAACTTATGACTGTCGACAATCCATTTTGTTTTTCATTTTCAGTGTATTTCTATAGTAAAATTTACGGTCACTGAAGTTAGAGAATACCCCATGCTGTAAGCTTTGGATGTGTGAGTAGTGTAATGGAATTTTTAATCATAGAGCCGAATTCCAATTCCCTGTGGGTTCGTTATATTCACTTACGGGCAAAGAAAACGAATTAATCAACCAAGATAGTAAATTCCTTCTTTACATTTGGCTAGCGGTCTTTCTAGAGACGGGCCTATACGATGAAACCTCTAGTAGTTGTGCGACCCCATTAACGCAAAGTACCATTTCGGAGAAAAAAAAATGTCAAAAAATAGTTTATGAAATAACGGCGTAAAAGATACTAGAACCAATAGAGATATTTCGCCCGGCAGGTATACAACTGCGCAGCGGGGAAAAAAAATCTGCCTCGTCAGTCATGTATCGAAAGATACATGATCGCCTACACGTGTATCACGCATGGTACATAATTGACTGATTATTATTATTAGACACATAAGTGTTTTATACATGGTTTAATATGCCATATCTTGTGCTTGAAGATATTTGTATGATGCGGCTGTTTCTTTTGTTTAATAATAGATTCTAATATTTTGAGCTTTTCTTTGCAGTGAATGTTATTTAGTATATGTTGGTATTATCTACTAATATATATCTCATATAGTATTTGGGGTGCTTGTGGTGTTCGGGGTGGTGTTCGGGGTGGTGTTCGGGGAGTAATGGATAGCGGCTCGGATTGAGGAATCGGAAAGCCGAGTTCGAATTCCAATCGAATCAATTATATTCATGCGTACTAATATCCTTGAGAATGGGTAAATAGCAAGACAGACTGGGTTCTATAGCCTTAGATGGCAACTGGTCTACCGAAAAAGAAATGACAACCTACTTCAGGAAAAAAAATCTGCCTCGTCAGTCATGTATCGAAAGATACATGATCGCTTAAGCGTGTATTACGCATGGCACATAACTGACTCTGATGATCAATATGTGCATGAAATGTATTAAGTTATGAAAAGCTACGAAAGAGTGGTATGCACATGTGGCCAATGTAAGAATTCTTTTATTGATATTGAAGATGCAGTCTACCAAAAGGCATGAGTATTCATAAACGTCATTTTTTTTTTTTTTTGTTTTTTTTTACATGAAATCGATTTTTTGAAATCCGGGGTTATTTTTAATAATCCTTTTTATTATTTGTGTTAATAACGCATCGATTCTATATGTGAAGGCCTAACAATTGTTTTTGAAATCAACCACCAGTTTACCTACACATAAGCAGAACTAACCACAGTTTTTGGAAGACTTAACTATAGAGAACTAGTACAGAAAATAATAAGGACAGACTTGTGACTAACGAGTAAGTTTTAAGGAAAATGGGAACAAAAGAGACGTCTGTTTTTAGAATAAGTAGACAGTTGAAACATATGGACCACATGATGAAGGATTGATTTGTTTTTTTTTACGGATTATCAACCCTTTGTTAGTTATGTAAAGTTAAAACAGTTTTGAATGTAAGAATAAATTATTTTCTAATTTTTAGAATAACAATTTTTTTCCAGTTACAAGTCCTATTATCTAACCCATATCTGGGGGCAAGAAATTGGTTCATGCCTTTTCCAAGGGTACTTGCGCGTATGTGAATGAAAGGAACGCGTTCGGATTTCGAACTAGGCTCTCCGACATTTCATTCCGTGCCTCGATTCATTACACCATCCGCACATCCCCTAATGAAGAAAAGAAGTCTGAGAATTTGAAAATCACATAACATATTTTCTTCGTCTTTGGTTGCACCATTACTATGGATTTTGTGCCCAAATTGGGCGCCTGTTTAAACCATAAGGCACTTCTTACAAAGGAACCATTAAAACCCTTACTGGTTAAACTAATGTTCTGTAAACATATAGGTGTGCTAGGAAACCCCAACACCCAAATTCCTGAGTATATTAATTTTGAGACTCACTAGATGTAGGCTTGTGTCACTCTAAGCTAACTTTAGTAAATAACTATAAATGGGGATGTTGAGCGTTTGATGTAAAAATGTGTGCTTATCTTTAAGTTTACGACTATGCAAGTACGCATTACACTTTTATATAGTGAAATACCTGGCGTAATGTCTGGAAGAGCCTAGAGCCTTCTAGTGACAACTCTTGAGAGAATGATGGAAAGTGCAGATCCCCACCCCCCACCCCGAGAATATATAGTGAGGGGTGGTTAAATGAGGCAGGGCATCCAAGTGGTTATCTGTGGCCGGGTGCAAGTGGCGAAATGTATTTGGGTTATCAGTAACGGCCATCCTTTTGCCTCTATCTTCGTTTCAATCTCCTCAGTCTTAAAATAGATCATGTTCTCTTTTTTGGCTTTCATTTTTTCCTCCTGTTCTTTCTTTCTTTCTTTTTTCTTTCTTTCTTTCCTTCTTTCTTTCTTTCCTTCTTTCTTTCTTTCTTTCTTTCTTTTTTCTTTCTTTCCTTCTTTATTTCTTTCTTTCTTTTTTCTTTCTTTTCTTCTTTCTTTCTTTCTTTAGTATATCTCTGTTTTATACTTTTTTCTCTCCTCTCTTTCACAGATATGCTTTTTCATCACTCTTCTTTTTATTTCTTCTTTCAATATTTCTCTCCTCTGTTTCTCTTTGCTCTTTCTCCTTTACGCGTTCTCTCTCTCTCTCTCTCTCTCTCTCTCTCTCTCTTTTCTCTCATTTTCTCTTTCATGCTTTTCTTTTTCGTTCCTTTTCTCCCCCTACTCTGTCTCTCTATCACCCCCACTTTCCATCATCATTTTTCTATTTTCTAATACTGTTCTATCTTATATTTATATTTATATGTAGACTTTCTATTACACACACACACACACACACATATATACTTTCTCTTTCTCTCTCTCACTCTCTATCTCCCACTCTCATTCTTTCTTTTATCATTCTTTTTTGTTTTTGTTTCCTTCTCCGTTATATATACACTCTCTCTCTCCTCTTTCTCCTCCTCCTCCTCCTCCTCTTCCAGGAACACTTTTCCTTCATTTTTCTTTTTATTTCTTCTTCAATTTTCTGTTTTATATTAACGTATTTCGCTCCTCTCTTTCTCCTTCTCATTTATGTTTTTTTCTTTTTATCATTCCTTTTGCTTCCTTCTCCCCCTACACACACACACACACACGCACGCACATGCACACACACACACACATGCACACACACACACACACACACACACATACACACACACATTCAGCTTTCCAAAGAATACTATGATGTAGGCAAATAATTCTACCTACCACACAGACATCACATGGTTCTTGAAAATGAATGAGATGGTCGAAAGTACTTGAACAAAACAACATAAACACGAACTTCGGACGGTTTATCAACAATTTTGATCCCAATACACAAAACATTATTCGACAATTGGATATATACAGTAAGCAATTAAGCAGACATAGATTGTCAGTTCTTTTTAGTTAAATTTGCTTGACGATAGATAGATAGATAGATAGATAGATAGATAGATAGATAGATAGATAGATAGATAGATAGATAATGAACAGACATAGATAGATAGATAGATAATGAACAGACATAGATAGATAGATAGATAATGAACAGACATAGATAGATAGATAGATAGATAGATAGATAGATAGATAGATAGATAATGAAATAATGAACAGACATAGATAGATAGATGATAGATAGATAGATAGATAGATAGATAGATAGATAGATAGATAGATAGATAATGAACAGGCATAGATAGATAGATAGATAGATAGATAGATAGATAGATAGATATATAGATAATGAACAGACATAGATAGATAGATAGATAATGAACAGACATAGATAGATAGATAGATAGATAGATAGATAGATAGATAGATAGATAGATAGATAGATAATGAACAGACATAGATAGATAGATAGATAGATAGATAGATAGATAGATAGATAGATAGATAGATAGATAGATAGATACGTGCATCTTTGACTAGTACTACAGGAGACAAGTGTGAATCATCCAGCAAAAATAGAATTCATTGGTCAAATCTAGTTTGCTAACCATGACACCATTTCCCAATTTCTAGAATGTATTTACTACACACAGGGCCAATAACAAGGATAGCATTTACAACACTTGCTGCAAAACAGACGCATATATAATCTAAAAAAGATAGTCGGAATTTCTGGAACAAATAATGGAGAAAGGGGGCTTTTAATGAATCTAAAATTCACAGGGCATATTGAAGGCAAAAGAAGCAGATAGAAAATCGTATAACCTCCCTATCGAGTTCATGTAAATGGATGTCAGAACAGGTATCAGCTGGGATGACAAAAAATGCTTAGAGATAAAAAGGATTGGAAGTTGTTGAGAGCCATGATCGCTCACAACATGAAAGGACAGGGTATATAAAATTGGAAGATTTAGAGCTCTGGACGGCAGTGAAAATGACACTCCTTTTGAGGTAGAAAGACAAACGCCTCAATGAACGAAGACGACATGGAAGTTGTCGAAGACATTTACTACGCTGCCAATATAGATTTAAATTCCCATAGCATCTAGCTTAGAAATGGACAGCAGTGAATCCGACTAAAATCGGCTTAATATCTATATATTTTTTTATTAATACGCTCTTTGGTTAGAGATTTAAACTCTTTTGTTACAGATTAGTTAATGTCGACCCTAGATATATTAATTTTCCAAGCGGAGCTTAGATGTGGCACAAGGTCGAAAGTATGAGGCACCCAGTGAGGATCGAACTCACTATTCAGTCGTAATTGTTCTAGCGAGACAATGTCGACCCTAGATATATCTTGCTTTTAGTACTTTTCTCATCAGGAATATGGCGACGAACGTGGCCTGAAAAAAAGTTAATATTTAGGTCTCGTATATAAAGTGAACCATTCACTATAAAATTAAAAAACCTGGGAAAAATTGTATATATATATATATATATATATATATATATATATATATATATATATATATATATATATATATATATATATATGTGTGTGTGTATTGAGGCTTTCCAAAGAGGGTGTCTTGGGCATTTTACATAAAGATTCGAAGAAAAAAAACTTTAAAAACAGGGAATATATAGTTAAGCAATGTCCCAAATGGCGAACTCTACCCCCCCCCCCAAACTAGTAGGATAGGTCCTGTCTCTGCCAGAGTAACCCAATTTCCTCTCCCTACCCCTCCTACACTTCTGCGCCATTGATATTCACACTAGGTTTTACATTCGGTCAAGAATCCCCCAAAACTTTACTGGACTTAATGTATGTCTTGAAAAATTGTAAAATTTTATTTTTTATTTTTTTCTGTTTACTGCTTTTTTCTTTCATCTTACCGTGTCTTGTAATGTCATGTTCATATTCTTGCTTGTATTTTTTTTTATTTAAATTTCTGTCTTACGCTTTGCATCGATGCAAGTTTATATATATATATATATATATATATATATATATATATATATATGTGTGTGTGTGTGTGTGTGTGTGTGTGTGTGTGTGTGTGTGTGTGTGCAAGTATGTAGAAAAATAGAAGGTAAATAATCCAGGGTTCTTTAGTATTTTTGTTTTTATTTAAAAAAAAAAAACAGTGCTCCATACAGAAGTAGAACTTAGATTATAATTATTTTTTTTTAAAATATGATTCCTTCGCTACATAAAGATTCTCATGTTTCAAAAACGAGAAAAAAAAAACTTTTCGCTTGAGGATGAAACAGGGCTTGTAATTTAATTCAATTAATTTTAATAATTATATAGATGGTTTCGGCTCTCGTTTTTGAAACATGAGAACTCTTATGTAGCGAAGGAATCATATTTTTAAAAAAATAATTATAATATATATATATATATATATATATATAGTGCTGTATTAAATTACGTCTCCAGACCGAAGGCAGAGTCATCCCGCCGTTACTGCTGTTTATCGTCCCGTTGCTGAGACACGATTTCCCGCACCACAAACTATGGATCGAGGAAGAGCGAGATACGCTCGTACGCCTGACCACAAATAACACATTCTACAGCCTGTCTGAGACGGTCACGGTATCAGCATACGTCAAGTGACCCTAGCACGTCGTACATCTTATAGTACCGCATGGAGGGTACTTCAAGAGCAGTGCTCGTATTCCTATCATTTGCACTGTGTGCAGATTGCTTCACCCTCTGATCACTCACCACAGAACCTCTGCCGTTGGCTTACTGCACAAACTGCCGATCCGTTGTTTGTTTCTTCAGTCTTGTTTAAGGATGAGATGGAATAACAAATTTACATTTCTGGACGGATCGGAATCTCCATGGTATAATACAGGCGAGACACTGGCATCAGTTTACAATGAAAGTGTGGGCTAGAATTATAGGTGACCGTCTGATAGGTCGATATGTCTTCCCAGCACGTTTTACAGGAACTTTATTTGGACACATTTCCAAACCTGCTAGAGGAAGTACCCCTGCTAATACGAAGATGCATGTGGCTTAAACATGATGAGGCTCAAGCACATTTTCGTCAAATTGTTGCGATGCACTGTATGACATCTACCAGGAAAGATGGATAGTAGAGGAGGACCATTTTTATGGTCCCCACAAACTCAATTTTTGGATTTTTATCTGTGGAGCCACCTAAAACAATTAGTTTATGCAACAGATATTAATAATGAAGATACGCTTCATCAACGTGTCATGTGGGCTTGCGAAACCATTCGACAGTATGTGGGAGTATTTGAAAGGGTCTGCTAATCAATGATCCGAGGGGTGCATGCGTTCGTAGAAGCAAGTTTGTGAACATTTGCTATGAGTTTCTGTGTTGAAGTACAACAATGGCCTTTTGGACATATGATTATATGGACATTTTACCTTGGTTTGGTGTCAGGAACGTCTCTCTCTCTCTCTCTCTCTCTCTATATATATATATATATATATATATATATATATATATTTATATATATATATATATATATATATAAACACACAGGACGTTCCTGACACCAATATATATATATATATATATATATATATATATATATATATATATATATATATGTTATGTCCGGTAAGACTTGTTATGGTCCGGTTCCTTGTACCACGGTGATAGTCCAAGGTAGAACCAATAAAGAAGAACTCGAACACAGATATGGAATAACACAGATATATTACAAACAGGAATATATACAGAGAAGTAGAAGTGTTAGTATGAACAATCAGGTTTAGTAGAGAGAACAATGTAGTCTCGACCAGTATCACTATTCCAATGTCTTGCAGTAATTGTCTGAACGCGGCTCTGTTTCGGACTGCCTCTGACTCGACTCTTGACTCGACTTGAACTACTGAACCCTTACCTACTCCTGAGGCGCAGTATTTATCAAGTATGGAATAGTCCATTATTATTATTATGGGTAAGATCCCATAGCAATATATATATATGATATAATGAAATATGTTCCCCATCATTGGAGTGTGATTGGCTGGTATCCGTCATAAATATCGACGGACGTGTAGGAGAGTCAGAAGAGAGCCTTAGTCTGAGAGCTAAGTCTATAACGACGCCCATTGGACTACGCCATTGATCTACACTTCTTACCATCGACTACGACGCGTACCAGTCGATTACTGCTACCGTATTCTACCACTTAGCTACTTCGTTCAAATATATCCCTTTCGGGGACATATCAATATATATATATATGTGTGTGTGCGTGTGTGCGTGTGTGCGTGTGTGAGCGTGCACCCGAACATATAAACACATGTGAGTGCGTTTGTACTGTTTATTTGGCCATTAATTTAATGTTAATTGTCG